ATGCTGTGGAAAACAGTTTGGTGGCTTCTCAAAAGGTTAAACATAGCATCACTATATGATCCAACAATTCTACTTCTAGGTATGTACCGAGAAAAACTGAAAACATACAGCCAAAAAAAAACTTGTACACCAATTTTCACAGGAGCATTATCCACAATAGCCAAAAGGTTGAAACTACCCAAGTGTCTATCAACAGATGAATAGGTGGAAGAAAACTGCCATATGTCCAGCTAGTCAAATATCATTTAGTCACAAAAAGGAATGATGTACTGATTCTTGCTACAAAGGTGAATAAATCGTGAAAACAGTATGCTTGGTGAAAAGAGCCAGACGCAAAAGGCCACATATGGTATGATTCCATTTATATGAAATGTCCAGAATAGGCAAATCCACAGAAACAGAAAGTGGATTAGTGGTTGCCAGGGGCTGGGGGAGGGGGGGGACGGGATATGAGGTTTCTGGGGTGATGAAAATGTTCTGGAATTAGATAGCGGTGCTGGCTGCACAGCCTTGTGGGTGTATTAAAAACCACTGAACTATATACTTCAACTAAGTAAATTTACAGGATGTGAGTTACGTTTCAATAACAAAAAGACCTTTGGCCCTAAGGCCAATTGCTCCCCCCATTTGCAATGGTCCAGAGCACCTCAGCTGCCTTTCAAACTGGCTCCCAGCACCCCTCATGGGCTAGGGAAGCCTTTAGTGTCACGCCTGGTGCTGCCTCTTCCATGCAGGCCTCCAGGCTACTTGGACCAGAGAGTTGGGACGAGCCCAGACCTCACAGCAGTGCCCCACTCCCCCACATCACCCTGCAAATGTTTCCTGTATAATGTGGAGTGCTGAAGCCAACACCATGAAAGAGCCTCAGGGCTCACCGTGCCCCTTCTTACTTCTCTAGAAGATTAATCACATTGGAAGCCTCAGGCCTCCGCTGGCCTGTGCAGCCCCTGGATGCCTGTCTAGCAGTTTCCCCAGGGGCCTCTGCTGGGGGCTGGCTCAGCACACACACGGGACCTCTAAGAAAAAGGCAGCAAGGTGCCGGGGAGCCCAGACCCTGCTCTGGCAAGCACAGATCCCCCAAATCCCCAGATCCAGCCCCTGGCTCCAGGCTCAGAGGAGCACAAGGGTGGCTTGCCCCAGGGCCTGGGGCATCCCTTCCTGAGCAGGTTTCAGCACACAAGGCCCACCCTTTAGCTCTATATTCTCACCTGAGGATAATGCCAAGAGAGGAGCAAAGTATGGGAGAGCCCACCCAGATCTATGGGATGGCGCAGGGGACTTGGTGGTTGGCAGTAGGGAGGGGTGTCCAAGTTTGTATCTCAAACTTGCCACAAGACCTTGGGACAGTCTCTTCCTCCTTAGAGCCAGGCTCCACTTCCTTCCAAGAGATCATCAGGCCAGCTGTCTAGGCCCCCAGAGCACAGACATCTCTGTAGCCCCAGGAGAACCAGATGGAAACACCACCTGCTAATCACACCAGAAAGAATGGTCAGGCCAGGGAGGAAGAGAGGAGAGCCCCTTTCCCATGGCAGGCAGGTGACCTGGAGGGCCCTGCCTGGTAGCCAGAGGCTGAGCAGGACAGCAGGAGTAGGGCGGGTTGGGTTGCAGCCTGGGGGGGGGG